TGCTGAACCTTAAGCATCTAGGTTTAAGATCAACAGCTTTAGAGTCACTCCCAGAATCAGTTTGTGATCTGCCATGCTTGGAAACTTTAGATGTGAAGCACACTATGATAACCTCATTGCCTGGTTCCATTTGGACGGCGAAAAACTTGCAACATCTTTATATGGATTGGATTCATTTTGATGATATTTCCATTCAAGTATCATCTGATTCAGAGCCTTTATCCAAGCTCCAGACCTTATGGGGGCTATCTATAAGTCAACACAGCCCCATTTTAAGTTCATTATTCAAGATAACATGTATTAGAAAGTTGGCCTTGAGATTCAGTTCGACATCACAAGAGCCAATAAATAACTGGATTTCACAACTCACCACCCTTCAATCTCTACGGTTGAGATCAATTAAAAACACTGGCGACCGTGGATCCATCAAATTGAGTGCCTTGTCAGACCATCAAAAACTCCTGGACTTGTATTTGCTTGGAGTGTTACCAAGGCCAATTAACATCAAACTACTTCCTCCAAACCTTAAAATCCTCACTTTATCAATGTCACAACTTAGAAAAGACCCGATGCGGACGCTAGGACAGCTACCTTATCTCAACATCCTTAGGCTTCTTGCTGATTCCTACATGGGGGAAGAACTTGCATGTTACCAAGGAGGATTTCCTCAACTCCAAGTCCTGAAACTCTGGAAGCTGGTGGAGCTAAGGGAGTTGACTGTGAAGGAAGGAGCCATGCCTTGCCTTAAACAAGTAGAGATTAGAGCCTGCAAAAGACTAGAGAAGCCTGAGGGATTAAGCAAACTGACCACATTGAAGGAATTGATACTGACCAACATGCCATCACAATTTGCAAAAGAAGTTAAAGAAATCATGGGCACAGATGTGTTTGTCAAAGAAAATGAATGGAAATCTTATCCTTTCCTGGTGAGTTTTTTCCTTTGCCTTCATCTATTCCCGTACAATTTCCTTTCTTCTCTTATATTTCTTTTGCGTGCTGCACAACTTTGGTGATATCCAAGTGAAATTCACAGTGCCTTGCATTCTATTTTCAATGCAGGCCTGAAGGTACTCTTGCAAGCAACGTACAGTCTTAGAGGCAAGATGTTTTGTTTTGTGTTTGCAATTGGAAATAGCCTTCTTGTTATAACTATTTGTTACATCTTTACATCAATTTGAACTCTCTGTTGCCATGAATGGCAGATGATGAAAAGCATGGCATTATTTCTTTCTATTGTTTACTGCAATATTCAATGAGATAGGAGGAAAATTATCAAACTGGCCGACCGGGCTGGCTATAAACCGGTCCAAGATTCAAGTTACAAGTTTAGCAAATTGACCCAAATAATCATGTATGGACAGCACTAAAGCAAAGGCATAAGACAGCATGTCAGGCATAGAATTCCTGTGTCAAGATTTTAGTAAAAATGTTCAAAAAGAATTTGGGACTGCAAGAACAAGGTCAATTTGCATTTTTAACCCAATTCTTGGACCGAGTCGGTTCAAGAATCAAATCACACCTATCTCCCACAGAACCTTCCCGGGAACAAAAAAAACGTTGAGAGTTTTCTTAGACTTTTCTTTGACGGGTCAAGCTTGGCAGATGGAAGTAAAAGACGTTGGGAGCCTTTTCCCATGAAACGAAGAGTCATTCTTTAGCTTTTTCTTTCAAGGGTCAAGCTTGGAGGATGGGATAACAAGTATTCTTAGTTTTAATGTGTTGATATAAAAATTAAAAAATATTTTAATAAATTATGAAATAAAAATTAAATTACACTACAATATTAAACACAAGCTAAATAATAATAATAAAAAATCACTAATCGATGATAATTCTGCATAATGACCAGGAAGATGACTGTTTTGCCCGTCATATATCCTTCTCCATGTCACCTGTGATGTCACAAAGCACTCATCAATAAATGTCTTGTGAGTTGTTAACATATTCTAAAAGAACTCGGTTGCTCAACAACTAAAATTTACAATTAAATACTAAAAAGTTGAGAGATTATTAGGCAATTTTTTTAATTAATATTTAATATTCGGATTAACTTATATATATTTTTAATGTATATATTAATGAATTATATAAATTTTAAAATTAATAATCATATAAACTTTTAATAATTCTAAGATTTTTAAAATCCAAATAGTTAATTTTTAGATAATAAATTTCAAATTTAGAAATTAGTCAATTTAATTTGCTATATTTGGATTGAAAAAAATATAAAATACATGAATAAAACTTTATGAAATGATAAACCGAGATATTATATTTTATCTACGTGTTATGTGTTTATTGGTCTAATTTATAGTATAATTATTAAACTCCATTAAATTATGAAAAAGGTAACCCATCGGTCAGACAAACGTGATGTCGTAAAACTGCTTCTACCTAACCATTTTTAAAAAAAATATATGAAAAAGAAAAAAAGGAAAATATCTACCGGCATTATAGTGTCGGTCCAATAAGAGGAGCGCGTGTGAATAATCAAGCCAGAGATGCGTGAC